GAAAACACAATTTCCAGCTAGAGTGGGGGCTCAGCCAGGCAGGAGCTTTGTCACCAGCAGGGCCAGCCCAGCCCTGGCCTCTCAGCAGAAAACCTCACACCCCACCAGCTGCTGGCCTCAACAAACACTGGCACAATTTTGGGGATGTGGAGCCACATTTTCCACTTGGCAGCTAAAAGTGGGTGTAAAACCCTCGCTGCTGGGAGTAAAGTTTAATACCCCCAAGGCAAGGGGGAGGCTGAGGTGATTTGTGTTGTCTTTTAGCTAAGGCAGTGAAGAAACTAAAAGTTCAAGAGGATAGAAAGAGTAGAGCTTGAATGTATTAGTGGGAGAGGAAAATGTGCCTTAACTGTGAGTCCTTGACCCAAAACTGAAGGTCAGAGTGGTTTGTGAACTAAGTGCAATGCAGGTCCCAGGGCCACCTCAGTTCCCAGGAATACCAGTGGGAATTGGGGCAGAATTGGAAGTTCTGAGCTCTCTTTGAGACACCTTTGACTGCCACCAGCACCTGGAGAGGCTGGAGCTGCACGGAGAGCTCCATGTGCCCCCCTGAAACCAGGTAAGGCTGGAGATGATCTCAGGTTATGGAGTGACCCCACCAGACCACCAGGAGTTCCACCTGAAACGCCCTTGTCCCCATAACTGGTTTGTCTATTGAAAAATCACAGTGATCTAAATCAACACAAAGTGATCTGATGGCAGAAAGTCTGCTGTTTTCAAACCTGCACAGCATGAAAACACAAATTGTCATTAAGAAGGAAAACACAAAGTGTAATTGCAGTGAATCAATGAGAGCAGCTCCCACAGATCTCTGGAAGAAGAAACTCTGAAGACAAAAACTCTGCAGAAACAAATTCTGTTTTGATTCTGGTGTGTCAATGTTTAATTCATCCTTCCACCAACTGTTTGGAAAACTGCTCGAAAGCCAAGTAACACTTTGCCACCTTATAAAACAATTACCCAAATTGCTGTGACTGTAAACTGTAAGGATTTTTACTGTAGTATTTCAGAGGTGACAGCTATAAATACCCTCCTGTCTGAGGCAGGCTGCAGTTCATACAGAGGCACTGGAATTTAAAATCCATGAAAGCTCGCCTATTTTGTGAATTGCTATTCCAGCTCTGAATTTTCAACATGATTGTACAGGTTTGGTACAGGATGTGTAGTGGGACTTCATCAGGTAAAATGGAAGTAGATTTTAGAGGTAATTGCAGTACCAAATAAGAAGCAAGGAGGAAATAACCGAGTTAAATGTCGAGTAGGCAACAGATAAATTTTTGGTGTGGGAAATCCTGCCTCCTACCATTCTCAAATAAGATTCATTTGCCACAATGAAGAGAAAATCAGACTGATATGGGTTAAAAAATGTGCTCTGTGCACTGCCAGAAGCTAAAGCACAGAGCAGGCAGCCCAAGCAGAAGACTCTGAGCAGACTCAAACTGCCTGACAGCTGGAAGGGACAACGAGGTGGCTGTGGCATGTCCCATGACAATGAAAAACCCTTGGAAAAAGCTGTATGGACAATCCCTGCGCAGCAGGGGTCAGTGCTCCTTGACACAGCTCCCAGCCTGAGTGAACTCAAAGCCACCAGGGAACTGCTGGTGAGCAGTGCCCAGGGATGCACAGGCACTGGGCAGTGCTGCCTCCTTGGAAAATGGGCTGGGGAGGGCAGGCAGCAGGGGCAGGAGAAAATCCCAGCACAGCCAGGCACAGGGGCTAGCCTGGAATCCTGGGTTATCCTGGAATCCTGGGTTATCCTCAGCCCTGAGTTATCCTGGAATCCTGGGTTATCCCAAAATCTGGGTTATCCTCAACCCAGGGTTATCCTGAAATCCTGGGTTACCCTGAAGTTATGGGTTATGCTGGCATTCTGGGTTAACCCAGAATCCTGGGTTATCCCCAGCCCTGGTTTATCCCCAGTTCTGGTTTATCCCCAGCTCTGGTTTATCCTTAGTTCTGGTTTATCCCCAGCCCTGGTTTATCCCCAGCCCTGGTTTATCCCCAGTTCTGGGTTATCCCCAGTTCTGGTTTATCCCCAGCTCTGGGTTATCCCCAGCTCTGGTTTATCCCCAGCCCTGGGTTTTCCCCAGCCCTGGGTCATCCCCAGCCCTGGTTTATCCTTAGTTCTGGTTTATCCCCAGCCCTGGGTTATCCCCAGCTCTGGTTTATCCCCAGCCCTGGGTTATCCCCAGTTCTGGTTTATCCCCAGCTCTGGTTTATCCTTAGTTCTGGTTTATCCTTAGTTCTGGTTTATCCCCAGCCCTGGGTTATCCCCAGCCCTGGGTTATCCCCAGTTCTGGTTTATCCCCAGCCCTGGTTTATCCCCAGTTCTGGTTTATCCCCAGTTCTGGTTTATCCCCAGCCCTGGGTTATCCCCAGCCCTGGGTTTTCCCCAGCCCTGGGTTATCCCCAGCTCTGGTTTATCCCCAGCCCTGGGTTATCCCCAGCCCTGGGTTATCCCCAGCCCTGGGTTTTCCTGCAGCCGGAGGCTGAGGGTGAGAGGGGAGGATGGGCAGGGTGGGGAAGGGCAGGACACCCCACGGAGCAGAGCTGTCCTGGCAGAGCTGCCCCTCCCCAGCCCAGCTCCCAGGGCCATGTCCCTCATTCCTCCATCACCTGCCACCTCCAGAGGTCAAAATATCCCAAAGTCTGGGCTTCAGGGGAATCATCCAACAGCAGGAGCCCAGCGCATTCAGTGCAGGGCTCTGGGGGCTGTCAGAAGGCAATCAGTGATAGCAATTAATGCCCACACTGCTGTCGGTGGGTACTAATCACTGGAAAAAATAGCAAGGCCCCTGACAATATGAGATTTAGTTTTAGCATTTTTGAGTTCTACACATTCAATTGAAAGTATTTAATTCTCTTCTATATCTAGAAGATAGCGGACAACTAATTTGTAACTTGTCATAAAATCATTTTAAATTTTTTTTCTGAGCATAATATTCTTCTATTATTATATAATTAATTTAATTGTAGTAGATCAGAGGAAAGTCTTTTGGACACCCAGAACATAGCTGGACGTGTTGTTCTGGAGAAATCCGGACAAAATGTGCAGAGTGTTTGCCCAACATATTTGATTATTATTTGAATTTTATGAATTGAATTTGATACTGAATTTGATCAAACTGGTCTCTTTAGATCATCTATAACAGCAGCCCTGTGATGTCCTATGGAAACCAATCAATGGCTCCCAATTAATTCCTTCATCATTTCCCAGTGCCACTGCCCTAAGTGAGGCTTGAGAACTGACAGTCCCAGGGGTGCTGGTCCCAGCCACAGCTGCCTGGGGGTTTTACTCCTTCCCTGTGCAAGCTCCAGCCTTTTCCATCCTTTCCCTCTCATGGAAGAAGCTCGTTTCTTCTAGGTAAGAACAGAGATGTTAACAGGTCTAAATTATTTTCAGGTGTTAGCCCTGGGCTTGGATCCAACCTTATGATTTGAAGCCAAAACTTTAGACTGGAAAAGTAAGAAATCCAAGTGTGGCTGTGTGAAATCAGGACATTTTGTACAGGATTCCTGGATCAGTGTTCAGCGTGGATCTAAAGGGGAAAAGCTAGACTCAATTTCAATAATTCTGAATATTTGTGGGTTTTTATTCTAACAGAAAGAGTGTGTCTTGAGGGGGGTGGGAATTAAAAAGAAAAAGAATCAGAGCACTAATATTTGTATAACTGAGCAGAAATGAAGTAAATCTGCTGCTGTAAAACATGTACAATTCTCCCTAAAGGCAACGAGCTACTTTGGGCACACCTATGCCTCAGCCTCAACGAAATACATTTTCATGAGCCTGGATTGGAATGGTTCAGGTCATATTAATGAATTTTCAATTCCTAGGCTTGATTTGGGTTGTGACAAAACACAGAATTGTTTAAGCAGCCCTGTCCTGCATGTGAATCCAGAAATGTTCTTTATTACTCTCTAATCAAACCTTGGGTTGCTTCCTCATGAAACGTTTTTCCTTATAAAAAGAGGGTGCCCACAGGTTACACACATCCAGATTGCCACAGCAACCAAAGCTCTGAAGGTGAAAAGGATTTCTGAACTCTGCATTTATGTCTCTATTCCACTTCCAACATCAGCCAGGAAACACAGGCACAGATCTGTGCTGAGCAGGATTTGCTTTAATAAGGAATGCAGGGGAAGAGCTGTGCCTCCAAAACACACCACTGGGATATTTTTCCTTGCTATTCTAAATAAAATCTGCGACGAAATAATTTTGTTTAAAATGCCTTTTCTTGCGGTTTTTATTTGTAATTCGTTATTCCCTGTAACCAGCGATTGTTGGAGGCTCACAAGCAGAGCATTGAGAGGTTTCCTTTTCATGAATGAAGTTCTGTCCAGCCTGCGAACAGGGACGGCAGTTCAGGAAAATGCCCAGAAGTGCCGGGGAAGATCGGGGGCTGCGAATGCAAACGGAGCTTTAAACAGGACAGCTTTGTTTACTTGCCCAAAATAGGAATCGCAGGGCTGGCTTTTAAATCCCAGCTGGAAGCAAACTTACTCGAACGAGATAAAACGCTCAGAAAATCCGCTTCAAACCCGCGTAAAAGCTGTTTTTGTGGAAGCTTTTGGCCCATTAACATTTCCACTCCCGCGCCGCCGGCCGAGCTTCTTTGGGACGATGTCACCAATAACTGAGCTTTGAACTGCGAGAAGGCGGAGCCGGGGCTTGGCTCCGGGGCCATAAATACGAGGGTCCCGTGGCAGTCAGGGCGGTTTGGAGCCAGGGAGCACCGGCAGCATCCATCCCCGGGGCGAGCCGAGCATCCATCCCCGGGGCGAGCCGAGCATCCATCCCCCAGCCGAGCGTCCCCGAGCATCCCAGCGCGGCCGGGACATCGCAGCGGGCTGCAGCTCGCCAAGAGCCTTTCCCCCGTGCGGAGCATGAGCCGAGCGGGCAGCGGGAGCCCCGGGAGCCCCGGGAGCCCCGGGAGCCCCGGGAGCCGCGGGGGCCGAGGGGCAGCGCTGGTGCTGGCGCTGGCGCTGGCGGCGCTGCCCGCCGCCGTGTCCGGCTGTAGCTGCGCGCCCGCGCACCCGCAGCAGCTGCTGTGCGATGCTGCGCTCGGTGAGTGCCGCTCCGCGGGAACGCGAGCCGGGAATGGGGCAAAGAGGGGGCAGGGAAACTCTTCCGCGCTGCTCCTGGAGCGGGGAAATGCGAGCCAGGGGTTGCTCTGCTTCCCGCGCCCTGCCAGGACGCTTTGTGGGTATAAACTGCTGGGGGTGCTGGGTTGGAGAGTGGCTTTTTATTTCTTTTTTACCTCTTCTTCTATATTTTCTGTATTTTCTATATTTTCTGAATTTTCTATATTTTGTATATTTTTTCTATTTTCTATAGTATACATAGAAAATATGCTATATATTATATATTTTATATGGAAATATATATATTTATTCTACATTCTACATTATATTTCTATACATTTCTATATATTATAACTTTATATTTTCTATATTCATATCTTTTATATTCTATATATTCTATGTTTTTCATATTATCTATTTAATCTATTTTATTAACCATTAACTATCTATTATTAAAGTATACAAATATAGAAATCTATTTTACGTATTTGTATATTAGATCCTAACTTAGAAGAACATTTGAGCTTTCAGATATCTACTGCTCTATACAGGAGTATCTGCTATATATAAAATATTCCATCTGCTATATATAAAATATTCTATCTAAACATGCCTGCCATGTGTAAACTGCTCATATAGGTGTTTTTATAGCACTTCAGGGAAAACAAACAAATAAAACACAACCAAATGGTCACAAAATCTAAGTCCCCAGTGCCAACTTGCAGAAACTTTTGAGCTTTGTTCTGCTATTCCATACTTTCTTTAATTTTTTCTTGGGGGTTTCTGTCATTTTCTGGAGCAGGGATCTGCTAGGCCCTTTCTTTTCTGCAGATAAAGTGGCTACAGCAGCTCTGTGTGAACATAACTCTGCAGCATTGGGACAATTGTGCCTCATGACAGCCAGGCAGCACCGTGCTTGTCAAACAACTCGCAGAAAGAGCCTAAAGACCCCAAACTTAGGCTGCAGGGGGATGAGAAAATGTGACATTTTGAGAAAATGTGACATTTTGCAGCCTTTTGATTCCATTAGCTCAGGCTGAGGCTGGTTAGCTTCCATGGGGTGTGAAGAGTAAATGTAGAACATGAGTTTCCAAAGTGCCACAGAATTAGCATCTCTATGGGGCAGGCAATACCTTCTGCATACTGATTCATTGCTTTTATGCCCTGACAGAAAATCTTTGTGGCCATGACAAACTCTGAGCTCTGTTTGTGGCCATCAGTTAAATTGGTTTTTAATCTGCCCGTGTTCAGCAATCCCTTTCATGGAGGTGCTTCCACCAGGCATTACACGCTTGGGGGTGTTTGAGGGGTGAAAGGAAATAAAAGTTGTGCTACAACTAAATAGATGTGCATTTAACTGTGCATGAGAAAGTGACGTCTTTTCAACAGACTTAATGTAAAAATTTTCCAAAATTAACAATTTTGCTGTATAGAGGAAACTCAAAATGTACATTATGGGCCACCTTAATGAATATTTTCATTCATAGGGAAGCCATTCTGATGATATAGATTAATATTTACTCATTTCTTAGATGTGTTTTACAAATAGGAACTATATCATGCTACTTTTTATTTAAATACTGGATATAGCTTTATGTTACAATGTTTGGACTTGATGCTCAAGCTCTCACTCCTATAAATATTCCTATCTAAGTAAACTTCCTCTTTTGGCTGAGGAATGTTTATGTCAAGGATCTCTTTGTTCACTATTTCTGCTTTGAAAATACCATTTCTGTGTCGTATAAAATGGGAGATGAAGGGAATCCTTCCTATCAATAAGTGCACACGTATTTTTGCGTGTACCCTTGCATGGGCACACACACACACACAAAAGCTGCTCTGAGCATTCGTGGCTGAATTACTGGATGTGCTTTGGCCACAGCATTTTGCACAAACGGAGCGAAACCCCTCGGGAGGAGCTGGAGTGGAGCTGTCCTGTGTGAGAGGAAGCTCCAGGGAGCAGCAGCTTGGCAGAGCAGCTCCCCCAGGCTGCTGCCAGCAGCCTTTGTGCCCGGGAGAGGAGCTGTGCCCGGCAGGAAGGGGCACCCCGGGCTGGAGCCCTGGCCAGGCACTGCTCATCCCCTGGGAATTGGGGCTGTGCCTCCACAGCTGCCTTGGGGACACACCTGTGCCTTGGGGACACACCTGTGGCCTCCAGCATCTCAGGGCCACCTGGCTCCCAGCCATGTGCTGAGCCTGTTCCATAATTTAATTATTAAATTCATTAAGTTCATCCCATGTAGCCACAAACACAGCCAAGGATTTCCTCGCAGGATTTCCCAGCACATCTTATTAAAATCAAGATGTCCTGACCCCAAACTCCACAGTAAAACCAGAGATAAAGTCTCAAACTTGCTCATGGAGCTGCCAACCATCCCATGTCCTTCAGCTACTGTGTAAAGGCAATATTTTTAATGATTTTGATGGAGGTGGAGGGATTGAATTGATGTTACCTAAAGCTCTAATTGAATGTGTGAAGCCACTCAGCAGCAGCATTTTTGAGAGATCCAAGGAAAAACAAGCGCAGAAATTAATGAAGTCTGGACAAGCTCTTTAGCTTTGCCTTCCATTAAGGTGATTGGTGCTGTGACTCTTTGTCCTTCACTGCCAGGAGGTTTTTGTGGCTCTAAATCCCCCAGAACCTGCAGCACAGAACCTGAGAGTGATCAGGGGATTTCTGACAGAGCTGGAGTCAGGGAGAGCTCCTGGTCCTGCCTGAGATCAGGGATGATTTGGGAGGAGAGGTCTGTAGGCATTTAGGGTTGGGAAGAACCGTGGGGTGTGCCAGGGTAACTCGGGAGGGCTGTGCCAGTCCTGCCCTTTAGCTGACCCTGGCTTTGTCCATCTTCCCACACAGCCTGCAGAGGATGGGATTTTGGACAGATTGGAGAAGTTTTCAGGAGCTTCTCAGCAGTTTTAAATTTCACTCCAGAGAGAGGGAACTCCTCATTTCTAGAAGTGCCTGGCACCATGAGATACACACCTTTCCTACAAAACCAGAGACCTATCCTTCTTGTGCTCTTCTAGATGGTGCTGAGGCCCTCCTAAAATGTGCTGAACTCCTTCAGCCCGCAGCAAACCCCGCTGCTTTCCCAGAGGGCTTTCCCTGCCAGTGGAGAGGTTTCATTAAACACAATGTCCGTGTAATTATCAGTGCTGACCACAATGCCCGGGATTTCCTCCCAAATGTGAGGAGGAGGTGCTGGAGAACAAATTCAGTAGTGAGGCCCTGGAGTGCCAAGCCAATGCATGAAAACTCTTTGGATAATTGCCTTTTTTTTTGGAGAGAAACATGGATGCAATTGAGTTTACCAGATAGTGCCAAGGTAACAGATTTCCCTTTTGCCACTGAATTTGTCATCCTGGCCTCAGTTCTGGAGACAGAAATGGGGTATGGACAGCACTGATTCTTTCTGAAGTCTGACACTTTAAATTCATGCTGGTTTTCCCCCTTGGGCTATTTTTCTGGACAGTAGGAGAAATATGTAAATACTTCACATTTCTTAGCTATGTAAGACCAGTTCCCTTCAAAGTTGGTTACATTCTTTCTGATTTAAACTGTCTTATTATTGTTTTTTCTTTAAAATATATCGAAAATTATATTTTTACTGAACAGCAATGACTAACAGGTCTTGAATACACATATATATATATATAATACAGCTTCAGAAAACAGTTCTGCAGCTTTGGAGAAGAGTGGCACATTTCAAAATAGGATGGAAACTTTACAGCTGGAGCTTGGCAGCATTTTCAGCCCATTAAAATCTCTCAAGATCACCGAGATCAAGCATTGTAAAGATGTGCCAGATAATATATTAAATTTTAATCACATTTAAACGTAACAGTAAAAATTTTCTTTAAATATGCCAGAGTTAAGTTTTCAGAGTCAGCTCTTGTGGGAGATAATCACAACATGCTATTTCTTTATTACTGAGTTTCAAATGAAAACTTCCATGGCTCAGTGTCCCACGATTTTGCCTCTCTGCCATGTAATATCCACTTTTGTGCTGGAATGGATTCATTTGTACATTATCAGGTGGGAAGTAATTTTTGCCTGGTGGGAAAAATCAGCTTTGGGGAATGCATTGGAGATGGGGACGGTGCTTCTTCCAAGGGAGGAGAGGAAAAGTGACCAGTGAAATGAAATGCTTTAATTCTATTTATTTTTATTGTATTGTACTCAGTGGCAGTGAGCAGTGGGACTGGGCAGGTCCAGGCTGCTGAGCCCCCCCAGGGGAGCCTTGACACCAAATTTAGCAGTGGTGCCCTTTGTGCCCTTGGGGGCACAGTGTCCATGCCAGCAGTGACAACCACCCAAAGGACAGTGGGGTGACAAGCCTTGGCTTTCTGTGAAGGTTTTTGGGAATCCTATTAAGAATCTTGGCTAAGACAGCTCCTGGAAGGATCCTGAGTCATGGGTGATGCTTCCAGACCCCCCCTGACCCGGGCTCATGGAACCCTGAGATTCCTACAGCTTTTTGGGCTTCTCCATAGCATGGGAAACTCATTTCTCTTCCTGGCCTGCCAAGCAGAGGCAGATCCCAGTGCTCTGCACCACCTCCTTCCCCCGAGTGCAAAGCAGTGCCAATAATGCACATTTCCAGAGCCACTGTCACCCACCAGCAAGGAAGGTGCAGCTGCCATTCCTCAGGGCTCACACACAGGGGTGGGAGCTGAAATTCTGCTCCAGGAATTGGGAATTGGGAATTGGATGGCAGAAAGGCTGTCCTGGGCTCGTGCTGCTCCAGTTCTGTCCCAAAGAACAGGCAAAAAAAACCACCTGAGTGTGGCTCTTGCAAGGATCTTTGTGGGGAGGCAGCAGTGGTGTCACTGGAGGGGAGTGCTGCCACTTACATCTCCAGAAGCAAAGAATCCTCTTAAAACAAGATAAAATCATATTAAGTTCAAAATTAATGCTGGTAGCTTTATGGAGAGGGGCTGAAAATGAGGCAAATCTCAGCCTTTTCCTCAGCAAGGGGCTGA